CTACCAAAGACTCCTAAGAAGGAAAGTTAGAACCTAACTGGGAAGGACCTTACACGGTCACGGAAGCTGTATGACCGAGCACCTATCAAATCCAAAATCCAGAATCCTAAGGGAAAATTTTTGGCCCATTCATGGATCGCAAAACACCTAAAGAAATATTACTAGTAACTACGGGTAAGGCAATGGGTGTACAAGTCAATAGTCACTATTTAAATTATCTATTGTTGTTTTGATCAATTTTCATTATTATTTGCTTTGGATTATAAAATAAAATTTTGCAAGACTTTCACAAAAGTTGTATTTCATTCCATAGAAATGAACAAACTATTTACAAAAGATAGAAGATGTCTAGTTACAAAAACACAAATACAAAGATACCATGATCCTAATGTCACTCACTACCCCTTCATCCGATCGCCTCCTCGTCATCAGTCCTTGGAGCCTCGTATGAGACGAAGCCAAAAAAGTCATAAGCGGGAAAAGCTGTTGAGACCTTCCCCTTGAGCTCCTCATGGCCATTAATAAAGGCGTCTGCCATGGCCCTCTTAGCAACATCTCTCTTCTTTTCCATCTCTATGGAGTAAGCCTCTACCTTGGTAGCTCTTTCAAGAGCTGCTCAAAAGTCAGCCTCTGCTCTAGCGGTCCTCTCATGGGACACTTGCAACTCTGTCTCTGCTCTCACGCAGACAGTCTCTATATCAGCCTCTATGTGTTGCCCCAAAATTTGCGTAGCTGTATTTACCCCGTTGATCACCCATCAACCCATAAAAATCCCCTAGATACCGTGTAATTCAATACCACGTCGTTATGCCCAATTTACTAAGATCTATAACTCAATAAAATTCGAGCAAAGTCTCCTTTGTACAGAGAGCTCTACCCAAAACACCACATGTACAATCATATAACATTGACCACACCGAGTCCATTCATCCATACTCAATTACATAGTATTGGATACTACCATAATCATCATCATTATATACATTCATTCATAAAAGAATAAATGTTTCAAAAGAGTCTCATATACATGTCTTTTAAATATAAACAACTTTTTGTTACAAAAATTATATAAGGTCACAACTAAAGATATACAAGGGACTATAACGTCAAAATAAGAGCCACAGTCCGGCTTTATCGTCAAAGTGGACCAGTAGGAGGGCCTTCGGTGAAAGTCTGTGGTATACCTGAAAATTGTTCTCATAAAAGGTAAGTTAACGCTCAATAGGATAACTCATATAGAGAATAACTCTCAACTCAAATACATATGAAATGTCACTTGTATTCATTCAAATATGTCTATTATGAACAAATGTCATAAATCATGTCATGCCAAGAGATGTGACTCACGCAAACAAAACCAACACCAAGTCTCATCCTGGGCTCCCACAACATATATAATGTCATGCATATGTATCCAGACATTATAAGCCCCTGTCATTGGTGTTATGTACACTTAATAATTAATTGATTCATTTTCTTCTATCTTTGTAAGGAGATGATTTATGGTATTACACCAATGGGACACCACATTATCAACGGATTTTCAAGACATCTCACCTATGGCTCCGTTTTCACCATTATATTTTTTTGGAATTGTGAGTCTTACACCCGAGGAAAAATCTAGTCCTTCTTGCTATACCCCGACACGTTTATCCATTTAATTTTTTGTGAGAATCAACCGGACCTTGGTGCAATTTTTTCGAGCCCACGATCAATCACATATGTGGTGATTGATTTCATATTATCCACACACTGTCACCCATGTTGATGCATATGAATGTAGTGCAATTCATGCATAAATACAATATAATGTGTAATTATCTTTGATACCATCTATAATGTTCATTACATAATGAATGTAATATAATGACATTTTCAACAAAAAAAAAGTATATTATGTAAGATAATCAACTCAATTAACATACTTGTATTCACCTAGGCATTTAAACAAAAACATAGATGACACATCAATTTGCACAACTAACATGTTTATTACTTCCAACATGACAACATGTTTATTTATTTTATAAACATAAACACAAGTTCACCACACTAATCGTATGCTAAATAATCATTTAACATACATATTATTTCATAATCACATAACACGCTAATAATTTTATTAAACTGGATATGCCATTAAAACATCAAGTCATGTTAATGTACAATTAACATGCTTTAAATCACTAACATTAACTTACACCAAGTTATTTATAATATGATTTTACTAATTATAAGGTTAATTATAAATCTTATATTTGACCCACTAATTACACTAGTCAACTAACATGTGATATACACCCTTAGTCTACTCATTTCATATATCATATTTTAAGTTGAAATTACATCTAAATAGGAGAAATCTTACCTCTCGTAGTGTGAGCCCATGTAATATAACTCTAAAAAAAGCTAGAATTTAGCTTTATAAGCCTTAGTCTTAGATTCTCGCCTTTGATATTTTTTTTGGAGAAAAATGAGATATTTGGTATGGTTGCGTAGCTCTCGTTGCGTAGAGTAACTTTAATTGTTGGCCCGAAACGATTAAACTGTTTGATTTTCATAGATCTAAGAAGGAAGAAAGGAGAAAAAAAACAAAAAACTCATTTTACTCTCTCTCACTCTCTCGTCACTCTCTCGTCAGACTACTAGAGAAGAAAACAAATGGAAGACACAAAAAGGTCTTCCATTTATATTGTCTAAATGTGTGGCGTGGCCCACATTACGCCATGCGTCTGTTTTTTTTAACGGGTCTAATTTTATTTTGAGTCAATTAAATCTCGTCTCGTATTAAGTTAGTATATTTTTATTGAACTAATTTTAAATTATTTTTCGAGTCTCACGAATAAAATCTGATCACAATTATTTTAGTCGCGCAACACCCGATTGTTTTGTAACACGTGAAAAATCCATATATATTAGAATTTATAAAAATTTACTGGATAGCTATATTTCGCGAGGCGAATTCAACGGTGAGATCCGTTTTGTCATCTAAATTATATAAAAATTTATATTTTTTGACTCGTGCTTAAACAATTAATTACTACTTTACCCATTTAATTATGTTTTAATAAAAAAAAAATTTATCGGGTTTTACACTCCAGCTGGGCGCCCCTCTCGTGGGATGCCTGAAGCTCAGTCTTAAGTGTGGCAGCTCTCTCGTGCGCTAGCCTCGACTGTTTCTCGACAGCTTCTCGCGCTTGCCTCTCGAGCTCTAACTGCTCCTCAGTAGTCTTATGCGCCTGTCTCTCCATTGTCTAACCACTATTCACCTCTCTTAGCTTTAACGTGCTCAAAAATAAGCAAAGAAAAACAGCAACCACCTACAAGTATCTAAATGCCAGAACATGAAAGAAGGAAACCAGATAAAAGATCAAAGATGAGTAAAGGGAATACTAAAGCAAAGCCCTCCATCGTTGTGTTGATGACGTCCTCTGGACCTCGAGAACCAACCTCCTAGATCTTCGCAGCGGTCACCCCCACAATTGCTCCTTGACCAAATTCAAGTCCTGCAGAATAGACACCGAACCACTGCTAGAAGCAAGACAGCCAGGCGGAGTCCTGGTCCTCGTGGGAGACCGCACTGAAGCCTCAATCCCTACAGTCATAATGGGATCAACTCTAGAAAATGATGGTACCCCGACAAGGGAAGGAGTGGGGGCATCACCAAGTCCCGTCTCTCGGGGACTATCCTAGTCAACAAACCTCAGTTGAGAAACATCAAGGGCATCAGACCTCGCCCTTTTAGAAGAAGGAGGGGAAGACACCATCCTAAAAAGCGTAGACAGCCTCCACTAGCGCTCTATCAAAAGAAGTACCTGCAAACTTGGTATGAGACAAAAAACTTATGATGTCGTAACCATCAAGAGTCTATTGGAAGAATCAGGTACCTTTCTTTTTCGGCCTATGAGAAATTTTAGGATGACTTGACGTGGACATAATCTTCAAGAGTTCTTTGAAAGGATGGTCACGAACTATCTGGAGCCTACTCTCTTGCTCTGCAGATAATGTGGGTGAAACTACATAGAAGCCAATCATATAGTGAGAATAGATATGTGACGACTAGAAGTAAAAACGAAAGTGAAATCCTTACCTAGCTTGGTCCTCGGGACAGTGTCCCACCTCGAAGGCACTAGGTCACGGTCTCCCTCAGTGGCCCACTCATTTTCAACAAAGAAGAACTTAGACGTCCAACTATGACAGTTCAAAGGAAGCCCAGTGTTGAACTTGTCTGACCTCGGGGCAAAACGACACCACCCTTGATAAGGAAAGGGGTTATCTAGAAGCACATACGTGGTCAGAAACTCCTCAAATGGGAGAGGGACGTCAGCACTGTGAACCAGCTGCCATAATGAAAAAAATGTCAGTATCACCCTCCACCCATTTGGAGCCAACCTCCCGGGAGCCAGTGATAGATGTCCCAAGACTCGACATATAGGCTTAGATATTGAAAGCCTCAAACACGCCTCTAAGGCATCCTTATAAAGAACAATCTCAACCGAGGAGTCACAACATGTTGGCTTATCCTCTTCCGCCCGACATGACTGTAGGAGGGATACGGTACAAAGATACGATACTAGTGATATTATCATCACAATCAATGAAGCTGAATATGGAAGTCACGTTTGAGCCATTATCTTCAGCAATCCTCTTGCTTCGCTCGATGTCTCGAGTAACCTCCCCCACGATGACCTTACTAGAGTGAGTGCCGGTCAATAAACAAAATCAAAGTTAATGTCAAAGGAATACCAGTATCTGTTGGGCTTGTTTGTGGAATCTAGTTGTGTGTTGATCCGGATGATGACCCGACCCAAAATAATGTTACATGACAACATTATTTTGGACAAGCCTATGCCTCTTGGGGCCTTAAGGAATTTTTTTTTTGAAGAACATCTTAGCCGTTTGAAGAAAAAACACGCCCAAGCCTCCACCGGTGTCGCCTACCCATGGTTGTCCTTACCGACATCACCCACAACATAGCTAGCGTCGCCCACACTGCCTTTTCACGCCTTTGACGTTATCTGAGTCATTTCCACCTGCATTGAGGCCTGTGCCTGGGGCACCACCAAAGCTACCCACGCCATTGGCATCACCCAGCTCGTTGCTGGCTTTGCCCAGCGCGCGACAGACGCGCCCCGCCTCCTGGTCGCTTCACGCTGGACTCCCTCCTCGCGATCTAAGGCGTCACCTCTACTGGCATCGCCAGAGTTGCGTGGCGTCGCCAAGGCTTGTTTGTTAGAGGCCCCATCTCGATCCCTCATGTGATTCTGCCATAACAGTCTTCTTGGTCCTCGAAGTCCGCATCTTCGTCTCCATTGAAGCTCCCTGTATTGTATTGAGATAGGTTACTTAACACTAGGAAGAGGAATGACAAAAAAGGAAGGAAATGGGTGGTCTTATAACAAATTGAATATGTATTGTGATCAGAAACCTATGCCTTGAATTGAAAAGGGGGTCTTAAAGGATTTGTAAGTCTTGGGTGCAGAAAAGATGTTTCATGGAGATCTTTAAAGCCCTAAAGGATGGAGCCTAGGTGAAGGAATGTTTTTAAACACAGCAAGGCACAACACAAAGGGTGACCGTCGTTGTGATGATGATACAAGACGGAGAAAGAATTTTTGCACAAAGAAATGAAAAGACAAAGAAGCTATCATGGGGAGTAAGGAACCCACCATGTATTCAAGTAAAGAAGACTCTCATGCCCTCAACCGCTTGCCACCTCAAGGGTTTGGGGCATTTTGTTTTTCCTGAACCCCAGGTTAGCGATGCATGGAGAAGGGCATGGGGGGCAAATGACGAGCCCAAATTCATCTGGGTCAGACCCAATAAATCAAGTAAGCCCAAGTCAGCTAAAAGACAGGTCAAGCCCAGTTCGTGAATATGACCCAACCCAAAGTTCAAAGAGTCTAAGAAGAATTAGAGCACGTGGGGAGCAATTATCGGAATACTCACTCTCGAAGATCAAAACACTTTTAATTGTACTTATCTTTTGTAGCTAATCTTTCCGAAGAATTAGTGTATTTTCCCTCAAGTCACTGCCTCAACTTAACTAAGGCTCTGTGCCTATAAATTGTAAATTTTCTCAATTGAGAGGAGTATCTCTACATCTCTCTACACACCTTACACATAATTTTTCTCTCTCCTAGCTATTATACCCCTTTCGGAGCTAACCATTGTTTTTTCTCTCTCGTTCACCTTATTTTATCAATAAAGATCCCTTCGCCACCATTGTCATTTTTCGAAGTGGAGTAGCTCTCTCAAATCGAACCATTATGTATATGTGTGTTAATTCTATATTTATATTATTGTCATTGATTGCTCTATTCATTGTCCATTAATTACACTTTATCACACTCGACTGTTGATCTTGCATAAGTCTATTTTGTGCATCATAAAGTGTAAATCAATGACTACAACTTATTTTTTTAACTTATTTTTACTTATATTTAAATTTGAGTCAAAATTGAGTAAAGTTTGGAGATGCCAAGTACCTCTCCTTGGGATATATGTTACATCCGTTTTTAATTTCATCTTTGAACTAAATTATACCACGAAATGAGCTATCGTCTTCGGTAAGAAAATATTCGGACTTGAATCTTAAATTTACGTGAGTCAACCAAAATTAGTGAATTCAAGATTAATCGAGATTTAACCTCAATTTTACTCGAAGTTGTACAACGCAAATCAAACCCATATTAAACTCAATTTCAAATAAAAAAAAAAGATAAAATTTAGCCCAAAATATTACGACCAGTCAAGATTCAGATTTTCTACCGTCCAAAACTTCCATAAAAAAAAGAAGTGCATTTGAAAGGCTGCCAAAAGCACTTTAACTAATTAAGTTGTTTTGAATCATGACCGACTCTCTAGAGATATTGTTGGAAATAGTGAACAATATTGTAACTATAATTTTTCGGTCAATGAAACCATTGGTCAAAAAGAACCCAAAAAAAAGACAAACGCACTTAGCATTAAAGCAAGTGCAAGCACTTATACAACGGTGATTCGATAATAGCCCTTGATTACGGGGACAATTAGCCCTCAAGATGGAAGATTACAAAATCACTTATACACTTGGGTCGTTTGGTTGCAGTATTAAATGGTGAATTTTGGAGTCATAAAGAATAAGACTCTTTAATTCAACCTTATACAACATAATCAGAAAATATTCTGTATTGTATAGTTTTATTTCAAATTCTTGTTCAAATAATATACTGTATTTGTACTATTAATTCGATTATAATGTCACATGGGAAAATGATATTACAATTCAATTCAATCGTATTAAGTTGTAAATTTAGTATTTTATCCAATAGATAAACAAAAATATTAATAATTATACAAGATTGATAGTTTTTTAGTTAATGTGTAATTGTTACTCTATTATCTCATTCTTAATCCAATATCTTATCAAACACTAGATTACAATGTGTAATATTTTTGTCTCATATTTAATCTTGCATTTTAGTTACTATACAGAATTAGTTTGTATTATCTAATACAATTCATTTTTTTACAATACAAATAAAAATGAATGAACATCAAACCTAATCCGTAATTCCAACGTAGAAACAAAAACATCACCTAAAAAAAGATCTAAAACCCAAAACCGATCATCAAGCAGAACAAAGTATTAAAAAGAAATATAAAAGAGAGAGAGAGAGTCCTGCAAAAAGAGACCAAAAAATCCAATCGAAAGATGTCTAAAGGATGATCTCAAAACCAAAACCAAAGTGAATATGGATTGAAATTATTGGAGAATTTAGTGGAAACAGAAATTGAACAGCCAACGAAATTCCAAAACCTATGCATCGTATACAAATTTGAACACAAAGAAAAGAAATCGAGATCGAAATACTATTAACCTTATTCTGTTAGAGATCAGGATTAGTGGGGGCAAAGTCAAAAATTTATTCTAGAATGAGCACAATTTAACAACTAGAGTTACATTTTTAACAGCGGCATTGCTAGCTTATGTCTTTTTGTGTCATATAGTCATGTGAGTGACATACTTTAAAGGAGATAGTAGACCTAAGGGTTCAATTGACCCACAAAAAAAAAAGTTGAAGGACTTAATTAATACAAGAGTCATAATTTGAGGTTATAGGTGTAGTTCACTCAATTTCTTTTTTAATTTTGTTATAATAGTGCCTTTTTTTTTTGAAAGAAACCGTAGGATTTCAATAGAAAGTGCATTTCTTGCTAACAAATACACTACCTTATTACCCGACCTATTCACGGTAGACACATTAAAATAGCTAAAACCAAGCAAAATGTTCCTGATATCAACCAAGACATTGCCCAGAGAATCAAAATCTTGTTCAGTATAAGTAATAATCTTCATAACATTTGATGAATCTGTTTGTCGGTTTTTCTAAATACTCCTATGATTCTTGTAGATGGAAATTTTGTGTATAAATATTTTCTATATGTCTGATGAGTTTTTTTGACAATATTCACGTACATTTTATTGTAACGTGACTCAATGCGGTCAAAACAAAACTCGTTGCCACGAAATAGTCCAATTTTATCAAAACGGACCTTTATGACCCACAAGTCCATTTGAAAGTGTTGTCAAATGCACTCTTAAGCCTTTTTGAAAAAACAATCATGGATAACTCTCTAGAGAATATATCTCAGGNCAAAAACATCACCTAAAAAAAGATCTAAAACCCAAAACCGATCATCAAGCAGAACAAAGTATTAAAAAGAAATATAAAAGAGAGAGAGAGAGTCCTGCAAAAAGAGACCAAAAAATCCAATCGAAAGATGTCTAAAGGATGATCTCAAAACCAAAACCAAAGTGAATATGGATTGAAATTATTGGAGAATTTAGTGGAAACAGAAATTGAACAGCCAACGAAATTCCAAAACCTATGCATCGTATACAAATTTGAACACAAAGAAAAGAAATCGAGATCGAAATACTATTAACCTTATTCTGTTAGAGATCAGGATTAGTGGGGGCAAAGTCAAAAATTTATTCTAGAATGAGCACAATTTAACAACTAGAGTTACATTTTTAACAGCGGCATTGCTAGCTTATGTCTTTTTGTGTCATATAGTCATGTGAGTGACATACTTTAAAGGAGATAGTAGACCTAAGGGTTCAATTGACCCACAAAAAAAAAAGTTGAAGGACTTAATTAATACAAGAGTCATAATTTGAGGTTATAGGTGTAGTTCACTCAATTTCTTTTTTAATTTTGTTATAATAGTGCCTTTTTTTTTTGAAAGAAACCGTAGGATTTCAATAGAAAGTGCATTTCTTGCTAACAAATACACTACCTTATTACCCGACCTATTCACGGTAGACACATTAAAATAGCTAAAACCAAGCAAAATGTTCCTGATATCAACCAAGACATTGCCCAGAGAATCAAAATCTTGTTCAGTATAAGTAATAATCTTCATAACATTTGATGAATCTGTTTGTCGGTTTTTCTAAATACTCCTATGATTCTTGTAGATGGAAATTTTGTGTATAAATATTTTCTATATGTCTGATGAGTTTTTTTGACAATATTCACGTACATTTTATTGTAACGTGACTCAATGCGGTCAAAACAAAACTCGTTGCCACGAAATAGTCCAATTTTATCAAAACGGACCTTTATGACCCACAAGTCCATTTGAAAGTGTTGTCAAATGCACTCTTAAGCCTTTTTGAAAAAACAATCATGGATAACTCTCTAGAGAATATATCTCAGGATATTTTTTTATATATATTGTACAATATTGTAAATCTAATTTTTTTTTTTTTTTTTGGTGAATGAAACTATTGGTAAAAAATAAGACGAAGATAATTAGCTCAATTCTACCAGGTACAATAACGACTTAAGAGTGTCAAGTTTAATAAAACAATTCAAGATGAATGATTACAAAATCCTTTATTCCATGCTACTTTAAGTAATGCTTCCTTTCGGTCACATATGGTCTTGTCATTTCTCCCTTCCATTTTCGGTCTTCTCTTTTCTTTTTCCCTACTTTTGCTTTGCTTTGCTTTGTTGTAAGTTACCTTTGATGTTTGGCGGAGGTCTTAATTTAGATACGTAAACCAACACAATATTAGCACAAATGGCATTACCAAAACTCAAGAACCCGATGAAGCGTGTGAGTGGATCAGGTGATTTGAAAGTTTGCTTGCTTTCACACTATCAGACCACTGGAATGTTTCTTTTATGAGTTGTCGACATAAATTATAAGGTGCTATGTCTCTTTATGAGTTGACTCAAAACGTCCAAAAATCGCTCATATTCTTGAATTAAATACGATGGCTGGCTTGCAAATCCTATAGTAACACTGTACTTAAATCGATAAGATCAATGTCGAAGTGGTTTGAGCCAGTTAAACAGATTGACCTTTTCAGAAGACTTTCGTATACATGAATTTTCAAACACCCACATTAAGTCAATAATGTTTGTTGGGCCATAGTGGGAGTTTAGTGTTATGTGTTAATTTGGATGATGACCCGATTCGAAATAATGTTACGTGATTTTTAATGAAAAATTTTCTAAAACCGCCCTCTGTATTCCGCTCTCTTAATAGTAAAATTTCTGCATTTTCGTGGACGTAGGCAAATTGCCGAATTATGTAAAATCTGTGTGTCTTGTTTTTTCTTGTTTCTCATTGTTTTATGCTTTTTGTTTGTTCTTCGATTGTATGTGTTTGTTTGTGAATTTAAAGCGAATTAGATCCCAACAACGGTGGGGCGAAATGAACTCTTTGTGCACCCCTAACAGAGGATGCAATAACCCAAGACAGATTTTGAACAAATTCCTTCGTTTAGGGCCTAAAAAAAGCATTTTTTTTTCATTTTTGGAAATATTTTATACTTGAATAACTTCACCATCTAAAGTTAGAATTGATCATCGTCAGTTCTGCTTTAATCCAAGTGATTAATAGTTTTTAGCAGTATAATTAGTTTAGAAATTTCCTTTGTTTGTCAAAATCTACATTAATGGCCTAATTACGTAATTAAAGATAATTTGGTCACATTTGGTTATTTCCTATTTAGTTTTACGATTTTAGCACTGTTTATATCCTTGTAAGCCTTGGGCTAAGCAGTTTTAATTGATTAATATAATTGAGAGAGTTTTTCTTTTATTCTCAATTATTTTGGTATTCTTTATGAATTAACAAATCAATTGAAGCTTTTAAAACTGGTATTCTTTGTGAATCAACAGCCACAAAGTAGGATTATAATTCGGAATTTGTGCGCAAAGCAACGATTTGGTTTCACTATCCCCCTTCGTTCATTATCCACCCTTATTCTATCTGCTTCCCTGCATCACTTATGATGAAAAATGTGTCGCGCCTCATGTCGAATGAAAATGAATGTGTTTTTATTTATACTAGCAATACAAAACGTGCATTATACATGAAATGTTTTTTTTTTTTTTAAAATCTGAAAAAATAAAAAAAGATAATACATATGGATGAAGGGAAAAAATACATATATTGCACATTGGCCAGTGAAGAGGGATTCTAGGATGTCATAGTGGAATCCCGATAGACACTATTACACAGGGGTCTGAGATGATTATTGGAGAGATAGAATCAATTCTAAGGGATATTTGGCCGTATGCTAGTCAAATTCATAGAATTAGATTTGAAGATGTTAATCGATCAGCTAACATGGCAGCTCAACCAAGGCTCGAAGTGGACACTCCCATCTCAATGGCTTGAGAACTTGCCTCTCCAGCTTAGCATACTTATTTGTAAGGAAACTAGAATGGTTATAGGCTGACTGTGTAAAGCAGGTGGGTATGCCTGAAATAGTGTTTTGTTAGTTATGAAAACTTTATTTCCTGATCAAAAAATAAATAATATTGTATTTAAATTTAGTCTATAAGAAATGATATAACATAATATATATATATACTAGTTGGTGTACACGTGCGTTATACGTCAACCATTTTAAGTTATAATTTTATTTTTTTCATTTCTTGAGAAATAGATATGTTGTAAATATAAATATTGATGTTTATAAACGGGAAATGCTCATGATAATATTCTAGCTAATTATCAAACATTGTTAACCTCTTGCAATGGTGCATGTACAAATCTGATAATATATTCTACATAATTACTCGTCACAATGAACACTTTCAAGTCAAAGAAAGTCAAACGATGCCCAAGCTTCCTTTATATAGTTATTGAACTTTGATCTGTGTTTTAAGCGACTTAAAAATTTAAACTAATATACGTGATAATAAAAATAATTTTGAAGTTCCACTAAATAAAGAATAGAAGAGATTAAGGCTGATCAAGGCGTTTACTATTGTTTTCACTCTTTAGAGGTGAAAGTGAGGAGAGCAAGTGTCAAGTTCGGCCTTAAAGATTCCATACAAAATGGACAATGAAGCATTCTTTTTTAAAAATAGAAGGAAATCACAACCCCACCAGTCAATGTTCTACAACCCATTACTATTACCATCATCAAAAGACCTGGTTGGGCATCTTCCAAACATAGATTCTGATGCCAACCCGAGCATGTTTCTCTTAAGCATGGAATTGACACGTAAAACTTCAAATGCACAAATGATTTTCCAAAAAAAATTGCTCATGAATATTTTTCCAATTATTATGGTACTCAAATCAATACAATGAAATCCCACCCCATTCAAAATAACTCTGCAAATCTTGACTTCTCAATTAGTAGCTTCGGATTCAATATAAAAATAGACAAGATGCATGTGAAATAGAGACGCAAAGAGAACTTAAAGATTATAGTTTTATATGTAATCCAAAAATGATTCTTAGAAACCAAGAATCCTTAACTCCATTAGTATCAATAAAAGTTTTCAAAAAAATAAAGAAATGAATGGAAAAATCAGCCTCGTGAATAAATTCCAAACAAAAGCTATGACTTCTCTATTGAGAGATATCAATATTGAACTTTTGCACCCTAATAGACCAATGGATCAATTTTCTTGAAAAGAAAGTATAAATATTATAAGGAAAAAAGACAAACCGGGCTATAATGGAGAAGGCAAGTCTCCTAGAATTGGGCTTGAATTGAAGTACGTCAAACTTGGCAATGATTGTCCAAATTTATACTCCAATCAAATTTGACTGGTACTTGAGCCATATATTACCCACAACTTGTAGGTTTTTACTATGGAACATAAGTGATTTGGAGGTAGTGTTCTAAGCACATTTTTTAAGTATCTCAACTTGCTATTAACATCAATTGTTAAGGGAACTTACAGATACACCATGGGCTAGTTTGTTTGAGGTATAAGGGTGGTATAAGGAAAATAGTACGTGGGACCTATTTTAAACTTTGTTTGTTTGGCATTTTTTACTAAGTATTAATTTTCAAGTCATAGTACCGATCCGGTGTGAACAATAACACTAATACTTTCTACATAGTGCTATTCAATACCACCTACCCAGTGGTATAATATTCTTGGTATAAATGAATGGAGGTATATAATAAACTAAAAAAACCAAAATACCCTCATGTACAATGTCCATATAAAAATCTAGTTGCAATTTTTGACTTTTTAAGGTTAAAATTATTTTTTTAGATTGGTTAGCCGCAATTGTTGACCTTTTTTAAGTAGGTATTACACAGATAATGTTTGTGACAAACAAACAAGGGGAATGATGAGATTATAGTTTAAGACCGGGTATAATATACTATTGGATTGAAATGAAATGAATATAAAATCTTATACCACCTAAATTTTATACTTGAAACAAGCTAGCCCATAGGTATAGTTCAAGCAATAAAACATGGTCCAGAATTGTAGAATTTTAAATATTTCTACATTCTAACATCATCTTCTTCCATCCAGAGGGCCGAAAACACTACAAATATAATTGGAAAAACTAATTTTGTGAGGTAAAATTTATGCAATAAAATTTTTTCTTACTTTGTGAACGAATCTTCGATTTTTTACCATAGTCAATCAAAAGTTTTTCCTTTTTTTTAATTTGTTGGTTTGTGTACTACTGGGCTGACATTCACCCAGAATTGATTTAGTGTTTCATTGGTCTAGGGGGTAAGTGGGCTTTGCCTCGGTAGATCGATAAAACTGTTAACCATTGAATCCTTCTAAGAATTGAGTACGTGAGGGATAGAACCTCTATTAAGGATTTCGGCTTGACCTGGATTAACTCACGCGGGCGATCCTCCAGTAACCTTTATTTCTCAGTGCCCGCAAGAGTTTCGTCCCACATCGACTGAAAGTCGTCCCCCCCCCCCCCCC